TTAGACGAACAGACACCAGCTTTGTACATACAGACACAACCTTTCCTCTGTTCAAGAACAGGCACAATGGCTACTCGTACAGACACACCTTATTCATGACCTACACAACTGCTGGCGAACAGGTAAGTCTTTTGACAATGCCCTTTGCTTCAGGATGTGCCCGTTGGTAAAGAACTTGGACTCTTGACCTGCTTTTCACGTTTCTGAGCCCTGGCGAGATACCTTTTCAGGCTGCTTTACTTTTACATGGCCCAYGTTGCTTAGTTACAAGGCCTGAGGCCTACATTGGGTGAAAAAGACCCTTTCACAGGAATGCTTTGCCCGGAATTAGCATCCAGGGACGAGGTTTGACTGGCAACGAGGAGGACTGGATTAATTGCATGGATCTGGGCGTGTTTTATGCAGAGATGCAGAAAAGCAGATCAATAGCAACTTTCCGCACCTCTCCACAAACATGTCCAGATTCAGGCATTAAATACAATCCTCTTTGCTAGCGGGATCTCGCCCTGCAGGCGCAGGTGCTTTATACGGCACATCATAAATATAACTTTTTTTGTTTTGGTTGTTGTTCGTACATGCATCTGTTGTTTATTATAAATTGAAATAAAATTATAAACTAGTAAAAAAATACTCAAAAGCTTCAGAAAGCCAAACAGTCTGTCGTCTCTTTTCCCACAAATTCGTTTGTTAACCTTTTTTTTTGGATTTGTGAATTAAAAATTTGAAGCCTATAGTGTAGTATAGTCCATACATGCAAGCGCATGGCGTGCGGAAAAAATTGTGCACGTGTACAGCTTGCGAGCAGACACGGATGGTGTGGCGCACGGCATGTGCGGCACGTCGGGGAAATATTCACCCAAGAAAAGACGGGGGCGCAGGCCACACCACTGGGAGCTGTAGGTAACCTCTGCCCGATTTGAAAATTTGTTGTGGGATGAAGGAAAAAGAAAAGATGATTTAAAAAAAAAAAAAAAGTTAAAAAAACAAGTGGGAGTGTAATGTCGCTACCTACAGGTCAAACACTGATGTCCAATTGGAAGGAAATAAAAAAAGTTAAAAAACTATTTGAGGCTATTTCTCATGCCCAATTGGAAGGAAACGAAAATCTGTATGACTGAACTTGAAAAGGTATGTGTTGCCCCCCCACACCCCCCCCCCCCCCCCCCCAAAAAAAAAGAAAAAAAAAAATCTGTTCCCCAGGTGGTGGACTCTTCTGTTTCTACTAAAACAGCGAAAGAAAACAACAAAAAAAAGGGAAACTGCTGCTGGTACGGCGGCTACGGGCAGGGGGCGCACCGCATGGTGTGGTGGTGGAAAATATGGTATAGTCCTTACGGATTTCTGATTGCCTGCGAATCTGGGGCTTCCTCCATCTGACACATGGCCCGGATGCGTGGACGCCCGATAGGCAGTCGATCTGAGAGGGTGGTACTGCACAGTGGGCCACGCGATTTGCAAACCCAGATCGGCCCGTGCCTCCCAAGCGACACCGCTGTGACGAATCCGCCACACCTTTGTCGCACTGCATCGAATCTTGCACACACTCCGCTGTGCTGTCACCGGCTGCCATGCACCCACCACTGCACCGCTAACAACCACCTAGGGCCCCCCCGTGCACTATTCGGCCTGTGTGTGTGTGTGTGTGTGTGTGTGTGTGTGTGTGAGAGAGAGAGAGAGAGAGAGAGAGAGAGAGAGAGAGAGAGAGAGAGATGATGGAACACTACGAGTTTGTGCACCAGACATGACATTTGTCTTGCTATTTTTGGGCACAGAGAGAGAGAGAGAGAGAGAGAGAGAGAGAGAGAGAGAGAGAGAGGGGTTTGTTTCGTAGTGGAGGGACAACAGCTTCATCACCAGCACCAGAGAGACATTGACTGGGAGAGGTGTTGTGTCTGTGGAGGGACCAGCTTCGTCACTATTGGTAGTAGCCGATAGGACGGTTACTTCTGAGCTGGGCGGCGATTGACGATTGGAGGAAGAAGAGGCAGGTGGTAGAAGCGGGGCAGTGAAGAGACCAGACATTGTCACAATCTATTAATAATTTAATATGCAATATTTTTTTTAAAGTTTATTATCTCGAGTGTCTCTTCTTCTTCCCTTGTCTAAGGTGCGTTGCAATATTGCTGCCTCTTGCTGTTCCCGAGACAGACCCAGCACATGGACTGGGTTCATAGTACTCCATCATCAGTTCATTATCTCGCAAAGAAACATATTATGAATAGAACCAGGAACTGGACTCTGTCCATAGTACAGGCTCAAGAACTGGACTCTGTTCATTGTACTTCTTAGTAGTTCTTACACAGACAACACATGAATTTGACCAGGAGCTCGGCCCCCAAAGAGCAAACACAGGAACTCAGTTCTCGTATACTCGTGCAAACTGGACACTCGTTTTTTTTTTTTTTCCTGATTCTATGATTAATCTAAAATAATAGTAAAATATTAAATAATTTAAATTTCATTTTTTAAATTGTAAAGTTTCGAACTCAGACTCAACACCAGGGTCTGTCTCAGTGGCCCATTCTTTTTTTTTTTTTTTTTTTTTTTAACTGCCAATACGCGGCCCGAGCCTTGGTCCAAAAAGATTGGGGCGCGCGTGCTGTCGATAAAAAAACATTGACGGTCGCCGGTCGGCGTCGTGTTTTTGCCTCCGACAGGTGTCCGCGGCCGATGTATGGCGAGTACTGGTTACTTACAGGACCCCATTTCTTCTGCATTTATAATTGTCTTGTCAAAGGATGAAAGGGACTCTGACAGGGGCCCACACCATTTTGATATTCTCTGAATCTGTTCCAGTTTTAATGGATGTCTGTATGTCAGGGCACAGTGGCTCATTCATAGTCGGGACTCGGGACTCTGTTAATGAAATATTAAGTATGATTAAGTTAACTTGTTAAGTAGCCCGTGTTAAAAAAGCAGTGTTAAAAAAAGGAGGACAAAAAAAACTCTGTAATGTCCCACGAACGTCTGGGATAGGATCTTGGGCTTTTAAGTTTTTGAAACTTTTTGATTAAAAGAACTTTGAAAAACTTAAAAAAAAGCTTGAGAAAAGGATTGCTGACAACATGATCGCCTGTGCTCGTACACTCAAGGCTTTGTGGGAAATGGGTTCTCTCTTCAACATTGTTTGTTTCTGATAAGGCGGTTACGGTTGAGCCCGCAAGGAGTTGGACGTGGGAAAGGAAGCTTCCTATCGTTTCATTTACGGCGGTGGATGGGGCAGCAGGGCGATCACCCATCTGACCATATTTCCACAGAATCTGATGTCCAAATCTTGAAGCTACTTGCCTGCAACTTTGTCAACAAGGACAAACAAATTGTCTTGGGAGGTGAGTGTCCTCCCTCTCCCATCTCCCTCTCTCTGTGCTTCTCTCTCTCTCTCTCTCTCTCTCTCTCTCTTTCTCTCTCTCTCTCTCTCTCTCTCTGTGTTTCTCTCTCCCTCTCTCCCTCTCTCTCTCTCTCTCTCTCTCTCTCTCTCTCTCTCTCTCTCTCTCTC